GGCACGGGCGCCCGCCATGGCCCCTACCGAGGCAGCAGCGTTTCCGCGGGGCCCGGCGGAGGCCAGGCCCGGCGCCCCGGGGCCCGGCTCCCGCTCTCCCCCCCCACCGCTCCCCGCTCCCCCACGCACCACTCGGAGCCTCTTGTTTTTCCACAAAAAAAACCCCAACCCATCCTTTTTATTTGCCGCTCGCTGGGTGCTCCCACGCCGTCCCTCAGCGCCTGCAGCCGGATGGGGCCTTCAGGGCCCTTGAGCCCCCACAGGCCTCGGGCTTCTCCCCCTGCCAGAGAGCAGCCGATGGAGCCCCGGTGGGGACGGGGACGGGGACGTGTCCCCAGCCCTGCCGGCCCTCCCCGTGCTCCCCGTCCCACCTGGTAGAGGCGGCAGATCAGCCCCAGCAGCGAGGCCTCGGCCTGCGCCTGCAGCTCGTCCGTGTGCTTCTGCGGGGAGAGGGGCGACGGGGCCGGTCAGGGGGTCCCCGCGCTGCCCCAGCCCTGCCCGGCGCCCCGGTGCGCGTCCCCCTCCTCGCCGTACCCCGTTGATGACGACCCAGGGCACGTATTGGTGCGGGGGGTCGAGGGCCGCCGTCAGCTGGGCGTTGCGGTGCATCAGGGCGGCCCCCGCGTCCCCCTGCACGCAGGCGGCGATGCGGCCCCCGTCCAGCTGCGGGGCGTAGATCTGCAGGCACTGCCGGGGAGAGCGGGGGGACGTGGTCAGGGGGACGGGGACAGCCCCACGGCGGGGCGACGGGGACGGGGAAGGGGTCATACGGCCTCCAGGTTCTTGGTGACGGAGCTGCCCGACTCCAGGCAGAAGATGACGGGAAAGTAGGTGGTGAAGTTCTTGGCCTCGTCCATCACGCAGGTCTGTGGGGACGGGGCGGGCGGTGAGGGGCTGCCGGACCCCCCCATGCCGGCACCGTGGGGACGGGGATGGTCACGGTCACCTCGATCATGTTGCCCAGACACTCCTCCGGGCCGTGCTGGCACTGGAAGTGCCACTTCCCACTGATGTTCTTCTCCTGCAGGACCAACGGGTCTGAGCGGGCCAGCGGCACCGGGGCGAGCGCCCGCGGCACCGGGTCGGGCCAGCTCCTACCTCGGCGTTGCCGTAGGGCACCAGGGTGATGCTCAGGGCCTCGGCAGGCAGCAGCAGCCAGGCGGTGAAGAGCTGCTGGACCAGGAACCCGCGGCACGCTGGGCACAGGCTCTCGTAGTAAAGGCTCAGCTCCACGGGGGCGGCCGCCGGGCGCGAGAGGTTGGCGCAGCGGCTTTCTGCCTGCGTGCGGGAAGGTTTTGGGGTGCACGGGGGGGTACGGCTGCAGCCCCCTGCCCCCATATTTGCAGGGGATGGGGGAAAAGCTGCTGGGATGTGGGGCAGGAGGGGGGACGAGGGTGTGCAGCGCTGGGAGGGAAGTGAGAGCGGCCAGGGGCCTCCTGCAGCAGCACCGGGGCTTTCCACAGGAACTTCCCCAAAATATTTTTGGGGAAAAGCGTATCTGGTGGGGCCAGGACGTGCCTGGGTGGGGGTAGAGCCCAGCACCCACTGCCGGGTGGTGGCTGCGGCCCCGCGGGGCTCGCAGGGCGCTGCTGGACCCGCCGTCGCAGGGGGGTCACCATCCAGGGGTGTTCAAGGTGGAATAAGCTGAAAAGCTGGATTATGCCGAAAAAGCAGAAGTGCCAGCAGCGCCTGGGGAAGGCTTGGGGCTGGGGTCTGGCTGTAGCACGGCGCTTCCCCGGGGATGCCGGGGAGTGCCACGGTGCCAGCACGGCACAGCGGCTCTGAGCATCCCTGCGGGGAGCCAGCCTGTGCCGCGGGGATGCTCAGAGC